CTCTGGAATACTCGGAAACGCTTTTCCGCCGCGTTGTGGCTGTTGAAGCTCTGGCGGAAACTGTGTGGAGGTCATGTCTGCCTGTTAGAATCTCTTCGGTTCCCCGAGTTTTGTATCGGGCTGTAATTATAATTTCCTATTGGCTAAATTGGAAGGCCCCTTGCCCTGGCCTTGCCCTGACCCCGACCTAAAGACGAGATGCCTGGGCTTTAAAATGGCAGTTTCCTTCCCTAGAGGTGACTGCCAAAATCCAGCCGCTTTGTTTAGTGTTTCTTATCCGAGCCCGCAGATCCCGTTATCGCCTTTTCGGATTCCTTCCTGCACTCGATGGGCAACGAAACTGCTTAGGGCAAACGTATGGAGACTGAAGGCAGGCCTTCGGCAGGATCGGCCCAGGCTACAAATACAATTGCATTTCCTCTTCTGCCTTTTCCCACAAGATATCACGCGCAACTCCTGGCCCTTTGTGTGTAACTGGTTTGTTTCCCTGCATCGGGGTGTGCGGATTTGGGGGTCTCTGCACTGCACGCGCCCTCCCGTTGCCCCAACTGAGGGCTAGTTGGACGATCCTCAATGGGGGGTGGTTTGGGACATCGGGGCTTCTTCCTCCCCGATTTTGACTCCCTGAAATGACACCACAAACTTTGCTGGGACTCGGGAAGAATCTCCTTTTAACAAAATGCTATTACAACAAAGTTGGATTCGTTGCTGAGTAGAGAGACTGCCTGGAGGCCACCAAATGACCTGGAGAACGAGCAGAAGGGACTCGGTTCCCTCCTGGAAGACCTGCTCTGGACTTACGAGGTAGCCACCGAACAGGGTGTGAGGACCAAGAATCGACCAGGGTGTCCTCTGGGGGCTGGCAAAGCCACCTTCAACAGCAGTGGCCACGCTCCGGGAGAGGCACAGTGAAGTGTCTTTAGGGCCCACCTCTGGTTGCCGTGGCTTGGAAATGCCCCCCCCATCCTGGCTATATCTGATGGCCGTGCCACCCGAAGCCCCCTGCCGCCCCAAACCTCGGCCTCGGACCTCACCTCTGTTGATGGATAGGCAGGGAGAAGCCCCCTTGTGCTGCAGCTCCACGCCTCCTAACTGGGGCTAGCTTGGCTGAACTGAGCGTGCGCCGCCTTACAACTGCTTCTGCCCTGGTGATGTGGCCTAAGGTTCCGGAGTGGGCCCCCACAGTCCGTGTGCCTGCACGCAGAACTGTTTTGCAAGACTTTGCGGGAATAAAATGGCGTTTTGGCGTTTTGGTTCTGATGGGACCAGAAAAAAATACAGGGGGCCTGATTTCTATAATCAAAAACCAATAGGGCTTAACTGTGAATTTGTTCTCAAATTTTACAGATAAACTTCACCTCTTATATTTTGCGTCCACGACTTTTGGGAAACACTCATCCGTCTCTCATCGTCTCATCCGTTTTATCCATCCTTTAAATGATAAACCTATAAGGGATCGATAGGCTATATACGTTTTCAAAATAAACTATATTTATTTTTTACATTTATCGTTTCTTAATAAAAATGTACACTATTTCAAATAGATAGTTGATATTCCACCTATATTAATACATAGGTATCTCTAAGAAATATAGTTTAGAAACATCAAACCTAAATACAAACCGACATACGTACGAACTCCTTAAAGAAATAGCAGGGCAGGCCAAACAAAACTATTCTTGAATAAAAACATCTTGGTTTGCTTGAAGGGGGTGAGCGGGGTGCGCTTTTAAGAGCACCCTATTAAGGTGTAACACAGGGAAACGCGATACGACTGGTTCTTCTACATCCGGGACTGGGGCGCTGGGAAAACATCATTAAACGGCTGCCTTGCTTGGCAGCCTTGGAGGAGACCCCCGAGACGGGATGGGACGGAACCCCCTTCCCGACCCGGACGCCAAAAGCCTTGAGCGTGCCCCGCAGGCCCCGGATCTAAAAAGGAGATAAAAAGAAGCCACTGCTGAGCCCGCGTAAACGACCCCGAAGTGTATTATTAAAACAAACTATCTTTATCTCTACGTTCCAATTTAGCCCCTATAGCTGAAAGGGAAAGAGCGCAAAGAGACCAGGTCTCAAAACCTCCGGTGGCGCCGCCGCCACCGGTTCTCGGTCGCTTCTTTACGGACAGAGGGGGCGAAAGGCCAGGAACGGCCAGGCGGTCATCTTAAGGGAAAGGACCAAACGAGTGGCCAGGGTGGAAGCGGGGGAGGGGGAAGGTGGAGATCCCCCGCTAACTAGGTAACAGAGAAACCCGGTATCTTTCTGGAATCAGGCAATGCGGGGATGACTCGGCTCACCTGAGGCAGTAGCGGGCTTCCTTTTTTCCTTCCTGAGGCCTTGCCGGTAGACGTGCGCTCCGTCAGCGTAGTGCAGAAGAGAGGACGGGAAAAAGCAGGGAACCGTGCGGCGAACGGACAGGAAGTCGGGGACGGCTTCGACGGATGGACAGGAAGTCGGCCGTACTGGGAAGGTCGTCGTCGGTGGTAAGGCTACGGGACGGAAAGCTGTGCCCTCCTGTGGTCACAAACGGGTATTGCGGTCGCCGAAACAAAACAACCTTTTAAATGGGATTTTAAGGCTATTTATTTTCTCCCCCGTCTTTATGATTAACCCCTTATTAATATTAATAGGGCGACGGGAAGCTCTTTTTCCATTTTAAAGGTTTATTTCTTTTGGGGGCTGCTATACCCGGCTTGGGCCACGGGAGGGCAGCACTGTTTTCCCTCCCTTAGCGAGCGCGGCATTGAGGCCGTCGAAAAGGCCTACCGTGGCCTCGATGGTAATGCTGTGGGACGGGTATTGCGGCCCCCAAGATAAATAAGCCTTTTGAATGGGGTTTTAAGTTTACGGCCTACCTCGTTGATCGGACGTGGAGTCCGCCGTGCCCAGAAGGTGTCCGCAAAAGGAAGTTGGAGGATGACTAAAAAGGACGGACCGGAAGTCGGCCATGATGGGAAGGTCGTTTTTCAAAGGCCATGGCGGACAGCGAAATGAAGCGGACAGGAAGACTGCCATCTCAGGAAGGTCATCTGTGAAAGGAAGTTGGGGAAAAGCAGAATGACGAAGGACCGGAAGTCGGCCATGATGGAAAGGTCCTTTTGCCACAGGACCTGGGGGACGGCCGATATCGAGGGACAGGAAGTCCGCCGTGCCGAGAAGGCCTCTCGGAGATTACTCCTGAAGAACCAGCCGGCGAACATGCGCAGAAGGGCCAGGGAAGCGGCCCGTCCCTTTCGGAGGAGCATAGAGGGGCGACGCTTTGGCTGACGCTCTGCGCTTTGGGGCTTAGCTTCTCGGTGTCCCGATCCTGGGCAAAAGGCCTACGACCGCCTCGATGTTAATGCTATGGGACGAGAAACCCTGCCCCCCTGTGGTCAAAAACGGGTATTGCCGCCGCCGAAAGAAAAAAATACTTTTTAATGGCATTTTAAGGTTATTCTTCTCTATTTTTATTCTTAACGCCTTAAGAAATCCTCGTTCGAGTCTTAAACCGAGTTAAGGTCTATTGTGGCTTATTAATTTAATAAGGTTTTAATAATAAAGAATAAGCATCTTAAAACGCCATTAAAGAGGTTTATTTATTTTTGTGGCTGTAGTATCTGATTTGACTAGTTTTCCGTTCCTTAGCATGGCTGGCTCAGGAATTCTGGGAGTTGAAGTCCACGAGTCACAAAAGAGCCAAGGTTGCCTACCCCTGCCTTAGCTATAGGATGGAGGCCATTAAAAAGGCCTATGATGGACTCCAAGCTAAAGCTATGGGACGGAAAACTGTGCCCTCCTGTGGTCAAAAATGGGTATGGCGGCCACCAAAAGAAATAAAGATTACGGTATTCTCTATCTTTATTAACGGTATTAACGCCTTATTAATAGGGCCAGGGGAGGCCCGTTGGCTGCAACGCAGGCGCGGAAGAAGAAATCTGCTTCAAAAGCCTTAAACCTAGTTAAGAAAGACTAGGATGGCCTAATATTAATAAGGTTTTAAGGAGAAAGAAAAATAACCTTAACGTGCCATTAAAAAGGTGGATTTCTTTGGGTGGCTGCTATTTTCCGGCCCCTGGAACGGACGAGGGAGGAGGAATCCTGCTTCAAAAGTCTTAAACCGAGTTAATGAGAGTTTCCGTAGATGCGGAATAATCTTAAAATCACATTAAAAGGTTTGATTTCCTTTTGTGCCTACTGTTCCTTCTTTGACGGCAGGACTTGGACTATCACGCTCTAGGACCGCTTATCGAAACAGGTGGCCTCCCCTCCTATATCGCCAGCGAAGGAGGACGTGTTGGGTTGCTTGGAGAAGAGCTGGGACGGAAAGTTTGTGTGAAAAACGACATCCTGCATTCTTTCACAAATCGATCGCGACCGTCTGTAAACTCACCTAGAATGGGAAAACTGCTCTGGAATACTCTGAAAGACTTTTCTGCCGCATTGTGACTGTTGAAGCTCTGGCGGGAATTGTGTGGATGTCTTGTGTGCCTATTAGAACAAAGATGCTGTACCTTGTTCCCCTTCTGTAGGTGGGTGGAAATCCTGTGGTTGTAAAATACTATTCTTCTCCCTTGATTCCTCAACTTACAAATGGGATAGCTTACTGTGCAAAGTCTGATCTCAGCTGTAACTAGACTGTGCGATTTCATTTAAAAAAAAATATCGAGTGGGCCTGATTCGGTGCTGTACGTGCAGTACCGTATGCGCGGCACCGTACATGCAGTACCATACGTACAATACCATCTGTACTGCACTGTACTGTACGTGCAGTACTGTACGTGCGGTACTGCATGTACGGTGCCGCACATATGGTGCCGCACGTACAGCACCGTACGCAGAGCACCGTACGTACAGCACCATACTGTACGTACGGTCCTGTATGTACGGTACTGTACATGCGGTACGTACGGTACAGTACTACACGTATGGTACCGCACGTATGGTACCGCACGTACGGTACCGCACGTACAGCACCGTACAGCAACGCACGTACAGTACCTTATGCGCAGTACTGCGCAGTACGTACGATGCTATACGTACGGTACTGTACGGTGCTATGCATACGGTGCTGTACGTACAGCACCGTACGTACGGTACCGCACATACGGTGCCACGCGTACGGTACCGCGCGTACAGAACTGTACGTACGGTACTGTACGTGCAGTACCGTACGTATGGTACCGCACGTACAGTACTGTATGTACAGCACTGTACGTACAGTACAGAGCCGTACGTATGGAGCCCTATGTACGGTGCTGTACATGCAGTACTGTGGACATGCGCAGACGGCAGAGAGAATTTGCCCGTCCCTTTCAGAGGACTTAAGTCTTTTCCTTTCTCTTACCTCTGGGCGGTGGGTGGGCTGTTTACGGCAACATGGAGAGGAAAGGAAGGAATCTCCTGCCCTTCCTAATCCTGACTTGCTTTGGACGAAGGTCTACAAAGTTAGATGGACGGCGAACAATTTAATAAATTCCATTAGTTGTAACTTCTCAAGTCTCATCCGTTTTATCCATCCTTTAAATGATAAACCTATAAGGGATCGATAGGTTATATATATTTTCAAAATAAACTATATTTATTTTTTACATTTATCGTTTCTTAATAAAAATGTACACTATTTCAAATAGATAGTTGATATTCCACCTATATTAATACATAGGTATCTCTAAGAAATATAGTTTAGAAACATCAAACCTAAATACAAACCGACATACGTACGAACTCCTTAAAGAAATAGCAGAGCAGGCCAAACAAAACTATTCTTGAATAAAAACATCTTGGTTTGCTTGAAGGGGGTGAGTGGGGTGCGCTTTTAAGAGCACCCTATTAAGGTGTAACACAGGGAAGCTCGATAGGACTGGTTCTTCTACATCCGGGACTGGGGCGCTGGGAAAACATCATTAAACGGCTGCCTTGCTTGGCAGCCTTCGAGGAGACCCCCGAGACGGGACGGGACGGAACCCCCTTCCCAACCCGGACGCCAAAAGCCTTGAGCGTGCCCCGCAGGCCCCGGATCTAAAAAGGAGCTAAAAAGAAGCCGCGGCTGAGCCCGCGTAAACGACCCCGAAGTGTATTATTAAAACAAACTAACTTCATCTCTACGTTCCAATTTAGCCCCTATAGCTGAAAGGGAAAGAGCGCAAAGAGACCAGGTCTCGCAACCTCCGGTGGCGCCGCCGCCACCGGTTCTCGGTCGCTTCCTTACGGACAGAGGAGGCGAAAGGCCAGGAACGGCCAGGCGGTCATCTTAGGGGAGAGGACCAAACGAGTGGCCAGGGTGGAGGCGGGGGAGGGGGAAGGTGGGGATCCCCCGCTAACTAGGTAACAGAGAAACCCGGTATCTTTCTGGAATCAGGCAATGCGGGGATGACTCGGCTCACCCGAGGCAGTAGCGGCCTTGCCGGTAGACGTGCGCTCCGTCAGCGTAGTGCAGAAGAGAGGACGAGAAAAAGCAGGGAACCGTGCGGCGAACGGACAGGAAGTTGGGGAAGGCTTCGACGGATGGACAGGAAGTCGGCCGTACTGGGAAGGTCGTCGTCGGTGGTAAGGCTACGGGACGAAAAACTGTGCGGTCGCCGAAATAAATAAACCTTTTAAATGGGATTTTAAGGTTATTTATTTTCTCCCCCTTCTTTATTATTATTAATATTAATAGGGCGACGGGAGGCCCTTTTGCCATTTTAAAGGTTTATTTCTTTTGGTGGCTGCTATACCCGGCTTGGGCCACGGGAGGGCAGCACTGTTTTCCCTCCCTTAGCGAGCGCGGCATTGAGGCCGTCGAAAAGGCCTACCGTGGCCTCGATGGTAATGCTGTGGGACGGGTATTGCGACCGCCAAGATAAATAAGCCTTTTGAATGGGAGTTTAAGTTTACGGCCTACCTCGTTGATCGGACGTGGAGTCCGCCGTGCCCAGAAGGTCTCCGCAAAAGGAAGTTGGAGGATGACTAAGAAGGACGGACCGGAAGTCGGCCATGATGGGAAGGTCGTTTTTCACAGGCCCGGGCGGACGGCGAATTGAAACGGACAGGAAGTCCGCCATACCGAGAAGGTCTTCTGTGAAAGGAAGTTGGGGGAACGCTTAATGACGAAGGACCGGAAGTCGGCCATGATGGAAAGGTCCTTTTGCCACAGGACCTGGGGGACGGCCGATATCGAGGGACAGGAAGTCCGCCATGCCGAGAAGGTCTCGGAGATTACACATGAAAAATCAGATGGCGGACATGCGCAGAAGGCCCATTGAAGTGGCCCGTCCCTTTCGGAGGAGAATAGAGTGGCGACACTTACCATAATCTTAAAATGCCATTAAAAAGGTTGATTTCTTTTGGTGGCCGCAATACCCCTTTTTCCGTCCCATAGCTTTAGCTTTGGAGTCCATCATAGGCCTTTTTAGAGGCCTCCCTCCTATAGCTAAGGCAGGGGTAGGCAACCTTGGCTCTTTTGTGACTCGTGGACTTCAACTCCCAAAATTCCCGAGCCAGCCACGCTAAGGGACGGAAAAGAGGTCAAATCAGATACAGCAGCCACACAAATAAATAAACCTCTTTAATGGCGTTTTAAGATGATTATTCTTTATTATTAAAACCTTATTAATGTTAATAAGCCACGATAGGCCTTAACTCGGTTTAGGACTCGAACCAGGATTTCTTCTGCGCCCGTGTCGCACCGACCGGGCCTCCTGTCGCCACGTTAATATTAATAATAAGGCGTTAAGAATAAAAATAGAGAAGAATAACCTTAAAATGCCATTAAAAAGTATGTCTTTCTTTCGGCGGCGGCAATACCCGTTTTTGACCACAGGGGGGCAGGGTTTCCCGTCCCATAGCATTAACATTGAGGCGGTCGTAGGCCTTTTGCCCAGGATCGGGACACCGAGAAGCTAAGCCCCAAAGCGCAGAGCGTCAGCCAAAGCGTCGCCCCTCTATGCTCCTCCGAAAGGGACGGGCCGCTTCCCTGGCCCTCCTGCGCATGTCCGCCGGCTGGTTCTTCAAAAGTAATCTCCGAGAGGCCTTCTCGGCATGGCGGACTTCCTGTCCCTCGATATCGGCCGTCCCCCAGGTCCTGTGGCAAAAGGACCTTTCCATCATGGCCGACTTCCGGTCCTTCGTCATTAAGCGTTCCCCCAACTTCCTTTCACAGAAGACCTCGGCATGGCGGACTTCCTGTCCGTTTAAATTCGGCGTCCGCCCGGGCCTTTGAAAAACGACCTTCCCATCATGGCCGTCTTCCGGTCCGTCCTTCTTAGTCATCCTCCAACTTCCTTTTGCGGAGACCTTCTGGGCACGGCGGACTCCACGTCCGATCAACGAGGTAGGCCGTAAACTTAAACTCGCATTCAAAAGGCTTATTTCTCTTGGCGGCCGCAATACCCGTCCCACAGCATTACCATCGAGGCCACGGTAGGCCTTTTCGACGGCCTCAATGCCGCTCTCGCTAAGGGAGGGAAAACAGTGCTGCCCTCCCGTGGCCCAAGCCGGGTATAGCAGCCACCAAATATAGCTGACGACGACCTTCAACAGCAGTGTCCTCTTTTATGACTCATGGACTTCAACTCCCAGAATTCCTGGCTAAGGAATTCTGGGAGTTGAAGTCCATGAGTCATAAAAGAGCCAAGGTTGCCTACCCTGGTCTAGACTCTAGATGATGGAGAGAATATTTTAACAACTTTTATGTTCTGGAGGAAAATAACACCTCTGAGTTAAATGCAGATTTCTCATGTCTATGTGGAATGGATTTGCCTTGCATCTTTCCCTTCCAACGCCTTTAAAGCACCCTCATCTCTGCTATAGCAATTTGTACTTCTTGTTTCTGGATGCACATCTTCATTGAATATTTTGCATCTAAGATACCCTTGTGCGTCAATCGTTATCATGCATCAGTTTTTACACAGAACTATGCAATTAAAATATTTAGTCACAATGTGTATCCCTTTGCTTACCATTCATCCATTCTGGAAAAACTTACAATTTCTTTGAAGATCCTTTTGTTTCTTTTTTTCTTCATCCATCATTTTGCAATGCCTGGTTCCTAAATATAGAATTTTCAGTGAATGTGGTAGACATCTTCAATCTCGGAAGAATTCCTGGCTGAATCCCGCTTTTTAGTTCTTTAGATGCCATTTTGTTTTGTCATTATCATCCATAAAAATATCCAGTCTTCAGAAAGATAACCAGCTGAAGACAAACATAGTGGCAGTTAATTCATTAACAATACAAATTTGGAGAAAATAATGCATTTTATCACCAAATAAGAAAGAGGAAAAAAAGATTATGATGCAGCAGGAGGCAGGTAACAGGAGCCACCAAAACCAATGATAACTAGCATATGAAAAGGCCGGCTGGCTTTGTAATGACCATGAGGGCAAGGCAGTTTAACCTTCCCTGGCGTGAGAACTGCCCTACTGTTTTACAGGTAGTCCTTGACTTATGTCCACAATTCACTCGAAATTTCTGTTTCTAAGCGAGACAATTGTGGAGTGAGTTTTGCCCCATTTTACGACCTTTCTGGCCATACTGAGGACAGTTAACCAATGGAACAGCTTTTGCCCTCAGAAATCGTGGGTGCTCCATCACTGGAGGTTTTTAAGAAGAGACTGGACAGTCACTTGTCTGAGATGATAGAGGTTCTCCTGCTTTGAGCCGGGGGGGGGAGGGGGGCTGGACTAGAAGACCTCCAAGGTCCCTTCCAGCTCTGTTCTATTTGCTGCTGCTCTGCCCTTCGAAAGCTTCACTCCTCAGTCGTCCCAGGCGGGGGGGGGGGAGCTGTTCGCTGGAATTTTATGCTCAGCTCCAGCCATTCCTGGAACACCAGTTTCTTCCCTTCTGCTCCCCCCTTCCCCCCTCCTGTGCGTGTGCGTGTGCACGCAATGTCCCCCTTTCCTCCTTGTCTGCCCATCAGTGTTGCCTCCTGGCTTCTGCCTGGACAAGTTAAGACAATTGGTTGCCGGCCCCTTTCTGGTGCTGAGAGGCGGGCACGGCTGGCTTGGTGGCCATGGTGGGACTCGAACTCACGACCTGACCAGTGTCTGGCCTCGTGCTCTGACCGAAGCAGCTCTTGATCGACCCCATAACTGTTTTATCTTCATCATAAAACAAGTGTCCTCCTGGAATCCCCCCTCCCTTCCTCTGGCCGGCTCCTCCGGCCATTGTTTCTCTTCCAAGCTGCACTTGACCGACCCCCACAGCATATGGGGGGGTCTGGTGCCCAGGCACCCCCCTCCTGAGAATGGTCGTTTGGGGCAGTTTCCTTTCCACTGGGGGTCCTCGTGGACAATCTTTTGGCCTATCTTTTCTACCCTTTCTCTGGGAAACCCATATTCCCAGGTTTCTTCAGCCAGACATTTCAATTCTTGCACGGTTCGCCCCATCATTCTCGGTGCCCCCCCCATCCCACAACTGTCCTTCACAAATCTCCATTATCCAAAAACTCCATAGGAGGGTAGAGTTATAGAATCAGAACATGGTTCTCAAATCAACACATAGGTCTAATCGCTTTCCTTAAATAGGCTTCATGAGCTACATTTTATTTGAGTTAACAACTGCAACAACGAGCTGAATGTTTAGAGGCCGAAGCCATGTTAGAAATTGTACGTACACTATGGACAGAGAGGATCAAGAAAAAGAATTTGGAGAGGAAATTAGTGGAGCAGAGAAAGAGAGAGAATGAAATTTCACAAAATGGGCCACTGAATGCAAAGCTTACTGTTTTGAATATGGAACTGACTGTTTTGAGCATCCGGAGCATAATCTAAGCTGTAAGAAGCTTCCAGAATGCTCCAAATGGTTCAAAATGAAACTCTTCACCAGACCTCAAGCTTTTTGTTGTCCCACTGCAATTAAGCATTTCTTTAAAAAGTACACTTTCTCTGCTGGGCTACATGTTTTTACTCAGAAAATAATTTGGTATTGGAACTAGAACTGGGAGATCATAACAGTTTACTGGATGATTTGGGTGCAATCATTTCTCTCTATTGCTGGATCTATTAGGGCTGATGCTGTGGGGAAAAACTAAAGGAGAAAATGCAGATCAATAGACAAATAATACTGAGAAAGGAGATTTCACAGATGCTTCAATGTCCTGATATTCAGAATAAAATCATTGTCTGGAGAACATTTAACAGGTGCCTGGTTCAATCCTTGTCATCTTGGAATAATGATCAAAATGATGTCTGCTAAAATCTTCAAACATCCTACTGCAGAAGGCAGGCTACTGTCATATTCAGTACTGGAATTCTGAAACACAATACTTGCATGTTAAAAAGAACAAATACATGATTCAAGATAGACCTGGAACGTTTTATTCTTCGTCAACTATGCCCTCCTATCATGCAACAACAATTATTCTTATCTATTTGTTTAGAACCATGTTTGTTTCATATACAGAAAACATATTATGAAGCACCCTGATTATGTAAACAAATCAAACTATTTCAGCAGAATTAAATTTGGGTCCTTAAAAATATCTGGAAATTTAGCTTTACTTCTGATTGACTGAAATTACATATTACCCTAGAAGTGCAAAGTGTGGCACACAGATCCATCCTACAAAGGGAAAGAAACAAGAATTGTTGACTACTTTCTGTGCATAATTAAAAGAAAGCAATCCAATGCATATGAGAGAGAGAGAGAGAGAGAGAGAGAGAGAGAGAGCCCTGCAGGACTTTGGGCTCAAGTCTCTCTCCTTCAGTCCTTTGGCTTGAAGAAAGAACAAAGAGGGCTCAGCTTTTACCAACGATGGTAAATGGTTCCGCCTTTGCTTCACCAATTCGTGACACAAAGCATTTTTTTCACTGAGCAAGTCAGTTACGGCTGTCTCAGCAGTGCCCCTTCCCCAAAGCGCAGGGGGAGCCCACCTCCCCACCAGTGGTCTTCCTCCTTTAGCTGTTCATGAGCCCCTTCAGGAGATCCTCCGAGAGCTCCACCAGAGGGAACTCCGGGGAGGGAATGTCCAAGGGTGGAAGGCTGGGGATGGGAATGTCCTTGGCCTTCCCAGCACTGACAGCCAATTTCTGCCAGGGGGTGGCGGCGGCGGCAGTGGCAGTTTCCGAAAGCTGCTGGAGACCCCACAGCTCTGACTTTTCCACAAAGTCAGCATCTGCATCCAGCTCCTTTTCCAGGGGAGACTTTAGCAGCCTGGCTCTCTCAGCTTTTAACTGCTGGTTCTCCCGTCTCAGTCTCTCATTTTCAGCAAACAGCATCTCCACGTGCTGTTCTAGGACTGCAATTTTGGTGGCCTGCTCCTCCATTTTCATCTTGTCATCCTTTGGAGGTCTGTTGTTCATACACACTTCCAGAGGCGGCTCCTTCCTCTTCTGAAGCAGAAAGAGCAATGTGTCTGGATCCCTGTCCAAGACCCCTCGGAACCCCTTCATTTCCTTCTCCAAGGAGGGCCTGTACTTGAGGCTGGCAGGCGTTCCGTGTTGGTCATCAGGTTCCCCAGCTGAGGCCTTAGAGGAGCTCTGCACATGGGCCGTGCTCTCTTTGTCCATAAGAGGGCGGATTTTTAATCTTTCGTCCCTTTTCGCTCTTTTCCATTGCTCTTGGATGAGGGGGATCTGTTTCAGGTGACTCTCCCTTTGCAGTTCCAGGGATAATTGGGCCTGCCGAGAAACAAAAGAGTAAGTCGCCTTTATCAGCTTCTCGCGGAATAAGTTTTGGCATCTGAAGAAGTTCATCTTTATGTAAAGCAAGCAACGACAACACATACAGTTGGCCACCCCAGCCCAGCCTTTCCCTCCAGACTGCAGCTGGGAAAGGCTGGTCTTCTTCCCTGGAGAAGCTGGCATCGACCCAGATGGCGAGGAGTTCCACAGGAATGGGAATGAAGAGCCGCACCCTTTGAGGTGGCTGATAAATGATTTTACTTTCTTTCCCCCTGTATAAACTGATGGCTGCCCAGTTCCTGCGCAAGACAGCAAACAGTGAGGAATATTTGTGCTCAGGCAGAAAATTAACTGACCCAACTCAGCAGTGGGTAAACTCTATCGTGGGTAAATCTCTATTGTATTTAGCTGTTTATTTATATGCCAACTTTATTATTTTTTACATGCAACTCAAGGCGGCGAACATCCCCAGCACGCCTTCCTCCTCCTCCTCCTGCTTTCCCCATAACAGCAGCCCTGCGAGGTGGGCCCAAGGTCACCCAGCCAGCTTTCATGGCTAAGGCAGGATTTGAACTCACAATCTCTGGCTTTCCAGCCTGGTGCCTTAACCATTGGACCAAACTGGCTATTGATGCAGCAATTAATATGCAAGGCATACAAGCCATAATCCCTCCAATATCTGTTATTACCTAAGTGCCAAGTTCACCAAAATTAGCACAGGAAGCCGTTGACTTTCAACCATTCGTTTAGCAACTGTTCAAGGTTACAGTGATGCTGAAAAACTGACTTATGACCCGTCCTTGCAGTTACGGCCACTGCAGTCACAACCAATACTCTGGCACTTGCCAACCAGTGTGTATTTATAATTGTTACAGGGTCCTGGAGTAACCCAATCACTACAGGTGACCTTCTCAGCTGAATTCCAGCAAGCAAAGTCAATGGGGGAAACTTGCTCAACAAGCATGGCAATTCATTTAACAACGGCAGGAAAAAGGTTTGAAAACTGACACAACTTGCTTAATGGCTGCATCATTTAGCACTGAAAACTCTGATGCCAAATGTGATCATAAGTTGAGGACCGTCTGTTTTTTGCTGCTCAGACTGGACGGGGCTCCCTTTCTTCCCCTTGGTTGTGCTGTTTCTTTCTCATTTCCCTCTTACTATGTCTTGGGTTTCCCTCCCCCGCCCCGCCCACCCAAGCGTCAGGTGCAGCCAAGGTTCCTGGCTGGTATCCGAGTCACACCGAGGATGGTTCATCACTAGAGCAGCCGCTGAGGAGGGAAACCTCACCTGATCTGACTGAGTCAACTTCATAGCTTCCAGAAGATACGCTGCATAAGACACAAAATGGTGACACGGTTTAGAGGGGCCCGCTTGCGCAGCGGCCCTTCCCCATCTGAAGCGATCTGGAGGATGGGTGACCTCGATCAGGCAGGGCTTCTGCAGCCCTCTGGCCCAGACAAGGGAGGACAAAAGGAGCCCCCATCCTCCCCCCGTGGCAACTTTTGATAAGTGAATGGAAAATCACCTTCATTTTCAAACTTGGATCTTAAAGCTATACTTGAAGTACAACTTGGCAGTCAAACTGCTTTCTGCAATCCCTTTACAAGCAACATTGTGAGAAGACCTTAGCTGTTGATTCACTGTAACAATTGTGATTCTGTTTCCGATGACACGCTTTTTCTTTTTATTTCATTTATATCCTACCTTTATTATTTTGATAAATAATTCAAGGCGGCAAACACAGCTAAAACTGTTCCCTCGTCTTATTTTCCTCAAAACAACCAACCCAACCCATACGTTGAGAGAGAGGGGGGGGAGAGAGAGAAGGGGGAGGGAGGGAGGGAGAGAGAGAGGGGGAGGGGGAGAGGGAGAGAGAGAGAGAGAGACTGGCCAAAGTCACCCAGCTACCATTCAAGCCAAAGGCGGCACTATAACACCTAGCCCGGTGCCTTCACCACTTCACCCAAAGCCAGACTGTCCACTGTGATCCTTGCCCCTGACCCCGTGACAATCTCGCCTGCTTACCACTCTGCGCTGACTTAGCTTCTAGTAGGGAGGCCAGGGGGATTCAAGCAAACACCCACGAAGGCTCACCTGCTGCCTTTCGGTGACACGAAACGGCTTCCTCATACTTCCCCACGGCCAGCCAACGGTCAGCTTTTCTGCTCTGCTGATGGGCCTAAAAAAAAAACACACCCCAAACCTTTAAGACACCAGGAGAGCTTGTGGCTGCTTGAGTGCCTCGAACGAGAGAGATCTGCAGATTAGCTGACCCTGTGGGATGACATGTACATGACTTGCTTTCTACCAAAGCACGCCAGAAAGGTTTACCTGCCTGGATGCCCACTGTCTGGGCAGAAAGCTAAGGGAACTTGCAAAGTGGATCACAAGGCAGGAGAGGGAGAGTAAAACAGACACACAGAACCCTTGTGAAACAGGAACATCTAAGTTGGCCTGGGCGTCTAAACTGAAGCCATTCACACCCCATGTTATCTCTTCATGCAAGAACATTGCTCCAAAATATTTTGATTGTTAATTTAAACATAATGTAAGTCTTTGTTTATAAACAGCCAATTGTCTGAGTTCCTGAGGGAAGAACACAATAACCCCGAGATTTTTCACCAAAAGAGGTTAAGATAGATGTTACAGGTGGGTCCTCAATGTACAACTGTAACAGATATTGGAATTTCCATCGTAAGTTATGAGGTTGTTAAGCCGAGGCACGACCAACCTGATTTTACCATCTTTGTTGCAGTGGTCATTAAGCAAATACCACAGTTGTTAAGCAAGTCACTGCATTCCTACGGGCACCAAAAAAGCCGGTGTCCAGAAAAAGGCATCGGGCGACCGAGGAACTCTGAGCAACAGGCCATAAAAGCAAAACCACTTGCCAACCGCCTGAAATGCAGGCATGCGATCACAAGTGTGTGCATGTGCTGCCATCAGAGCTCCAGAACCGGCCATAAGTACCTTCTGGGGTCCAGAACCGGAACTTCAAATGGTCGCTAAGCAAGGACCACCTGTATTATGACCTGATGGGAGTCTGACCAGCTGCATTTTGCCTCAGATGTCTCGTCTCCAAGGGCCGTCCTGGCGCCCAGACGGCCACACTCCAGGTGGGCAAGAGGGGCCATCTCGGTCCAGGAAGCCTCCGTTTTCCCCAGACACGGACCGGGAGAGGGAGGGAGGCGGCCCTCCGCCCTGCCATCGGCCACGGGTGGGGAGGGGCGGATGGCGGGGGGCGCCACGGATCCAGCCTCTCTCGGGGGGGGGAGCAGGATTTGGACCACCGAGGAAGAGGGGGAGGGGGAGGGGGAGGTTTTTCCGGTTCGTCTCCCGATTCCTCCTCCGCCGAGACTCCGCCGGTGGAGCAAGAAAAGGGCCGGGGCTCTTCCCTCCCCCCTCCCACCGGCACCCCCAGGAGCCTCGCCCGCCGGGCTGGAAGAGCCGACCCGCCAAGGGGCCGCCCGCGGGCGCCTCGGGGAGGGGGGGCTGCCTCCGTCGCTCGGGGGGGGCGTCTTTCGAGTCAGGCCGGGCACTGGGGAGCCCCCCCCCTCCGAGGAAGAGCCGCGGCCACCGGGGGCCGAGACCTCCCCCGCCTCCCTTCTCCTTCTGGCCGGCCGGCCGCCAGGCCGAACCCGGTCCTCCCGGGACGAGGACGCTGAGATCCCCGCCGCCTCTCCGGCCGCCCCTTCGGGCTGAGGAGGTTTGGAGCTCCGGCCGGGCCCGGTCCTGCCACGCAGCCCGCGGGGAGGCACCAGGCCTGCCGGGTCTCCTCGCGGGGAAGGCCCCGCGGCGCTCACCAGGTTGAGCGGCGCCTCCATCGCCTCCATCGGCCGCGGCTGACGGGGCATCGGCGGCGCCGGGCGGCCTCCCCGCCGCCTCCCCCTCCCCTCCCCTCCCCTCCCGCGGACGCCTCCCCCGCGCTTCCGCCCACCGCGACGTCACTGCGCCGCCGCCCGCGGCCGCCAATCACCGGCAGCGCCCGGCCCGCCGCCTCTGATTGGCGGGATCGCCTCGCCGGCGGCTCCCTCTTCGATTGGCCCAGCTAATCACCCACGTCACCCCCGAGGGCGCCTGGCGCCCTGTTTGGTGAAACCAGGCCCGGAGGAGAGCGGCCCCGTACATCGGCCTCCCCGTCCGGCTACTTCAGCGTCCCTCCGGGCGTCCAAAACCCGGGGCCCCAGCTGCCGTGAACGCCTGCCTCGCGGGGGCCGCTGGGAGTCGTAGTTCCTCTGCATACTGGAAGGCGCGCTGGCTGCTGGGAGTCGCCCCACTTCCGCATCCGGAGGCTGCAGCAAGGCTGGGGAGCGAGAGGGTGCCGGAAAATGAGCGGCGGTGCCCTTGCGGGAGGAAGGAGCTACTTCCGCCCCACGAGCGGGGGAGGGCGGGGGTTCCCCGGGGCCGCCCCCTCCTTCCTCCCGGGGGGGGAGGGGCTCAGTTGGGAGTCCCGAATGAACTTCTGAGGGGGGAAATTTTTCCTGCAGCGAAAGGAGGAAGGGAGGAGGAGGAGAAAAGAAAGAAAAGAAAGGGAGGAGGAGGAAAAGGAAGAAGGAAGATCGCTCCTGATCTGCGCTCCTCACTTTCAACTGTCCCGTCTCGGAAAAGCTTTCATCTTGTTGGTTGTGTTTGAATTTAGCAAAAGAAAAAAAGCTAGAACAAAGGAACACGCTTGGTCATTTTGATCTGCAAATAAAGCAAAACGTTTAAATGGGCAAAATTTACATCTGGAGACTTAAAACTATTTTATGCCTGAGCAAAATTGCATCACCCCCCCCACCCTCCCCAGTTCAAACTGTTATTGTGAATGCTGCATTTTGAGCCAGAACTTTCGAGGATTGGTTTGAGCCTCATAAGCCTTACCAATCCCTTTCCTTTTCTCTCCCAAAAACGTATTCATATTGTGAAGCAAGCTCTTTCCTACACAGAGTACCCCCCCCTCCCAATTCCTCTTGCATGGATGTTTTGCAGCTGGCCAAAGTGTTTTTTTTTTCTTTTTCTGGATTCATTCTACCTTTGGAGGGTGAATTTGGCTCCGCACGCTGAATTTTCTTAACGCGCTGACATTCTCCATTTGCTCAGTTTCCACAGAATTCATCAGGGAAAGATGCACTTGAAGAAAAGCTGCATTTTTCTTCTATTGCCTACAATTTATTTAACATGTTTGTATGGTGGCCCATCTCACATACATGACGCCATACTGCTAACATTAAAAAACAATAAAAATAGTAAAAAAAAAACAAAAAACCAGCCTCCCACAAGTTTAAAAACAACAGCAAACTGACCACAGCCAAGACCATGAAATTTGCTCGTCCATGCTATCAGGGCTCCAGGCTTGAGGGCAAAACCAAGTTTTCAATGCTGTGTATGGCCCAGCAAAACTAACCTTTGGAGGAATGATGGCCGGCGCCCTGCCAGAAGAGACTCTCTTCTTGGGCCTCGCCTTATGGCTCCCTGTCACCGAAGGGACCCCAGCACATCTCTCCCGATGGATCTTTCAGGATAGGTATGGTCCCACAGGATACTTATCTGGAAACACAACACTTTGCTTGTTAAAAGAGCACATTTTCATTATCTGGCTGCAGACAAATACATTCTAGTTAAATTCTATGTAGGGGTGTCATTAGCTATACCAGCAGTCAAATTATTACTGTCAGACATAATATTCTCAGCTTTACAAACTCCCTTTTGCTATTGCTGATCAAATTAGGGGTTGTTTTTTTCTGAAAGAAACAGTTCATCTTGTTGCAGTTGCAAAATGTATCAGTTTATGGCTAAAATAGATAAAGGCATTCATGTGCAAACAAAGTACTTCACCCAAAATTGATATAATATTAGAAAGAAAGAAATACATTCCCTTCAATTCTTTGCCTCTTTTTAAAATAAGAATAGGGAGGCAGCAAAACTAAACCACTTCCAGACAACCAGCTTTATTGTGCTGTTATGGAAAAAGAAGAGTACTGTGCATTTAAAACATGAACAGAAACTTACTTTGAATAAAAACCCATTCAGGCAGATGTGATATATTGAGAATTGGGAGTTTGACATAGGTTGACCATGCATTCCGCATAGCAGGAGAACAACACCCCCCCCCCCCCTGTGATCCAGGCATCCTGTCTCCCCTCTCTTGAGAAGAATCATCAGCCCTTGGACTTGAAATGCTGCAAGTCCCAACAAAACCAGAGAGTGCAAAGTTGAGGCCGGCTGAATGTCTATAGAGATTCTCAATCATCCAGGTCATGGTTGTCCCAAAGGAGTTTTTTTACAAAAGGCAACTAGACTTTCTTGGTCTTTTTGTTTGAAAACATTTCACTTCTCATCCAAAAAGCTTCTTCAGTTGGGCAGATTAGCAATTTTGGGTCTCCACAATCCTAAGAAGTGAAGAAAAGGTATTTTTAAACATTACAGTACATGGAATAGAAGCTCCTTTTGCTGTGGTGCTTACATTCCCTTGGGAATTCCCAATTGAAATGGGGTGAGGGAAGAAGATGCTAAGGGTTCTCAAAAGCCTGAAGACCCATTTCAGATGGCTCAGCTACTTAAAGTATTTACCAAAGCAAGGACTCTGATTCAAACTTGGTGGGGCCAGGAAAGAAGTGTTCTTGATAGACTCATACAACCACTTGCAGATTTAATACTTTCTCCCTCTGTCTTACTGAGTATCCCCCCCCCCCATTCAAGTGTGCAATTTGCCAGTAGCTTTTGGGGAGAGAGGTAGGGGAAGTCCCATGCAGGCGAATCCCTCCTGAGGAAGGTTGTGCCAAAGCTGTTGCTCTGTTAAGGGAGCTGAAAAACATTCTGCTAGTGATCTTCCATCTGGCCTCTTTCTAAGGCTCAGCATGGAAATGAAAGCACCTGGAATACTCGAGGTGAAAAGTAGTCACTTCAGATATGAATCTAGACATCGAAGAAGTTGATTTAATCCAGGGGGAAGTGTGGTTATTTCTAGTTTAATCGTCTTTGCGGAATTCATGCGATTAAAATTGAGCAGGAGGTTGGACTAGAAGACCTCCAAGGTCCCTTCCAACTCTGTTATTCTGTAACAATTGGCTCCACTGGTGCGAAAAATAAAGTAGGGCTCAAGGCCTTTATGAGTAAACTGATTTTAAAAAATGAGGGCAAATTTTAATGACTGCTGCAAATTAAAAGCAGATTTTTTTCAGTGTTCATTTTTACAACGATATGAATAGCAAGGTAAGCTCTCCTAAAAATATTTTTAACGCATTTATTTGTTTTTATTCCTTTAAAAACCTTTTCGATAATAGTCAAATTTGTTTAGATTTAACAGTTGAATTCAAAAGCAGAAGATTAAATGACTAAAATGTTGGTGGTTCTACTGCAATGAAAGAAAGGCTGTCTTTTCACTCCAGAGTGGCTGCTCTCCATGTGAACGTGGCATCGATATCCTCCCAGCTGGTGGTTACTAGTCAGCATCGCCAATTGGCCCCATTAACGAGGAGCTTCCTGCAGGATTCCACATTTCAGAGAGGAATTTGAGAGTAGGAGGAAAGTGTTTCTTTGCTCTTTCACCTGTCAAACTCCTCATTTGACCCGCAGGGACAGTCCTCTCCTTAAGAGACGGAATTCTTCAACCCACACTCTGCCTGGCACGGGTGACTCTTTCTCTCCTCTTTGTGCCTTCGAGTTTTGACTGGGTTGGGTTTTTTTCTCTTGACATGTCGCTGAAGACAAGCTTCTCCATTGCAAGGATCCATAACCTCCCACACAGTGTCTTTCTACCCCAGAGAGAAAACGGGGCTTCCTTTCTTTCTGAAGAGCCCTTTTCAGACAAAAGAGATTTCCTTTCTGTTGCTGGCACCAGCTATCTTCCTTGCTTTGCCACACACACACACACACACACACACACACACACACACACACAGGGCAGCTCCCGGGCTTAGCTGGGAACGTCCCCTTTTCAGAAGCCACCACCACTCTTGCTGGTGAAGATAAACATGCAGGTGTCCAGTTTCTAAACAATATTCTGTAATGAAAATACAGTGAAGGAGCTTGGAAAAAAATCACATTTTTAAAAACATTCCATGTTCCCCAGTGTAAGAAGTGATTCCCGAGGTTTCTTGCAACGTAAAAGAATGATTGGCAAATCAATTTAAATTTGCGGGATAAGCATCTCTTTGAAGCTGGAGTTCTGCCCAGGCTTCTTGCTTACGTGACGCTTAATAAATCTGGGCCAAATTAAAGGTGTTAGGACAACCACCTGCCCTCATGGTCTGGTACGGAGTAAGGAATTATCTTCGGTCACAACTGCCTGGATTTCGCTGCAATGCCTGATCTCTGAGCTGTGTGGGAGAAAGTTATTCAGAATTATAAAATGGGATAAGCTGAGGTGATAAAGGAGATCGGGCAAGGGGAAGGACGCCATAGCGGTAGCTGAAATGCCTGACTGTGCTTTGGGGCAACAGGCAGCCCAGCCCTGGTTGTTCATGACAAGCCCCGTGATAGGAAACGCATCGGTTGTGCCTTGGCCCAGTTGGAACTGAGCCTTGGAACTGAGCCTTGGAACTGGGCCTGGGAGGGCTTTCATCGCACCGTCTGCCTCTGCAGAGGATGGAGACAGCAGCGTCCAGCTCCTCTTCCAGGCAGCCCTTGGCCCTGACGGACTCTCGGCTGTGGCTCCTGAGACATGGCGGCTGCTCCTCCGTGTGTGCCAGGCTCTCCTCAACTAAGGGGCAATATTGCCTCATCCGTCATGATTTACTTAATGTTTTCTGAATGTAGCTATTGTTGATTAACATTTAATGTGAACATATCATATGCCTGATATATTATTGCAGCCATTAATCAAGTAATTTTATTAATGAAACGTAGGAAGGAGCCAAGTCTTTGGCATACT